ATCAACCACCAGTCGGTGTCCCCCCGCTACACCCACCAAAAAAACAAACACACTATTTTGGAAGACAAAAGGAATCTTCACCGTCAAACGCTCTCTTGGAGGGAATCAATCACCTAGGGCTGAAGGGAAGAACCTTTCTAGTTTTTCGTTTACAAGAGAATACAGCATAGTCAGAATGAATGCATCAGTGACTAACATTTGCCTTGATCCTGATACTGACTTAGATGGGTGAGCTAAATTCGGTAAAGATACGCCTTCGTTCTCTGTCAGCTGACCAATCGAATTGATAAATTTGTTCGTAACTATGTCTCCAGAGCAGGTGGCTTTGTTCGGGCTGCTTAATTACAATGTCGCTGTACCACTGCTAAGCGTTCTATGGTATATGATTGATAGAGCACTTCCGTAGATCACTAAGTCGGTTGGACGTGTCGGTAGACACTGTCGCACTATCTGTGTAGCGATGCTGACGGAACACCGACACTACGGCTTTGGCTAATCGCACAGCAGTGTCGATCTGTTTGATTGTCTCGACTCCCTGTACCTGTCGTACACATGGTCACACTTTTGTAGGTCACCGATTCGTGGAAGCCGTATGGCTACTGTTATATCTGTTGCACCCTCGTATCTATTGTACTGGAGCGTGTCCAAGAGGTGTCACGGTCGTGACAACTGGAGCCTGTCTGGCAGAATGACTTTCAGGTCCGAAGTTCCTTAATGCAAAACGTAAGACGGAAAAAGATTCCTGGCACCGAACAAGAGTGTGAAGGTAGCCTAACGAAATGCAGCTTGTTCATCATGTCCCTTTTGAAGACAAGATATTGCAGGTAATTGGTAATAGGTAGAAAATTAAAAATTATTACAGAAACGACAAGGATTCTGCCGAGATCTTGCGTCCACGGGTTTGTATGTTTCCTGAAATAACAAGTTGTTCAATTCATCTAAAGAACTGCTAGAGTATAGTAAATGCGACAAAAGACTCAAGGACTAGTTTGAGTTCACAGTTAGCGACTGGTGGCTTTAGGAGTCAAAGGAACGGAGTAATATTCACTGAGTTAGCCCGAATGGACTAAATGACGACCTCAAAAGTTACTAAGTGACGATGGAGGGTGTAATGTTCATGTGAACGGTATGGTTTGAGAACCGTTTTGAATGTCGGCGTGACTTGGACTCTGTACAGATGCAACTAATCAAAGAGCCTTGTTTTAAAAGAGAGGAGGGACAATGCAGCGTGAAGAATACAAAAAGGTTATGTCCCAGAAGAAAGACGACAGCCTGTGATTGCTGAACGAAACGTAGAGTTCCGGTGTATCAAGAGGTGATAATATTACGGTAATCAATATAAAGGAAACGAGAAACTCCAAATCACCAGTGAATATTGGGGAAGCTGAAACATTCTCTGAAACGTCCTGTGGCTCTTGAATAACAGCGCTATGCATACAGATGTCTATTCCAGTCATCTGAAAATGGTGGTCTTTCATCAGCTTACCAACCACTGGACGTCAGGATTCAAACCTTTGGGATGAATTACGAAAAACTGCCCCTCCTTAAATTACTAAAAATAAAGTACGATACTCAATTAAAACGACATGATCCACAGTTTGCGACATTCGGCTCCATATCTTATGTAAAGACCTTCCAAAAGCACCATCTTGTTGTATTTTTACCGGCGTGCGTTGAGAACTTCGTTAGACTCGTGGAATCCTAAGAAAAATAGACCTTACGGAAGAGTTTTATTCACAAATGATGCTCTATCAATAACACAGCACTCATGGAGATGGACAAGAAAATGCAGAAACACTATACTCGGGCACAGTGAAGGATATGATAAGTACTGTCAATACTATCTGTTATTCCCTGATTGAATTTTAAAGCCCACAAATGCCGACTATGTCACACAGCTGTAGCACCGGCTGAAGGCAGTTAGGGTGGAGAATGAAGCAAACACAAATAAAATAACCCGATTTTCGCTCCGTTTGCAGCTGAGTGCGCAGTCGCACCCAAACAGACACTGATGATATCCCTTCGCACGTTAACGAGACGTCTGCAAGTCGACCGCCAAGCTCGGCGAACAGATCAGATCCGATGAATTGCCTTGCTTGACTCTACGCTTTGGCTCCTCAGTAATTGGCTTTCCTCCAAGTCTTATATATTTCGTATACTTGTTCTTTGATCAGTAAATGCGTAGGAGGCGAGTTACTTTATTACACCAATTCATTTAATGGCGCTTCACACCGTTCCGAGGTATCATTTGCTCAGTATCATTTCCTTAGTTCAGGCTGTGTTAGTCATCATCGTACTAAATTACATCGTCTCGTATGTCAAAAGACAGTAATTTCATTAGCACTTGGTACGCTTGCAATTAGAAGCTCAATGAGTCCACTGCTATTCTGTTCACTAAGTTGCGCACATAAGGCCTTCAGAATTGAATCAGTCCATCTTAGGTACTAAAACTGGAACTATCAATGACTGGCCTTGATTCTGGAGAGACTGGGTTACAAAACGTTACAAAACGACCCAGAATCTGTACCCAGAATGGATGGCTTTGCGTGAACACATGGATCTGTTTCCCTTACATCGCTGTTTACTTTGACGCTTCCACTCAACACTCGGTTGATGTAAAGTTAAACTACGAGTTACCGACTCGATTGTGTTAGGCCTTATCAATGATTGACTTATTTCGTAAAAACCTATTGGTAACTTAACCCCCTATTCACCATCGCTTATGTTAAACTTGAGTAGAAATTATTTTGGTCTTAAAAGTCGTTTCTTGAGATTCAAATCAATGTGGCAGGTGTTTGTTTTGCAGTGTGGGTCACCACTACAGATGGTCTGCTTATGATAGAATGACAGGGGTTTATTGCTCGACATTCCGGCCACCGTGGATCACCTTCTCCAGGGGTTCTTACTGGGATGTTATTGTGTCGCGTTCGTTTACATAGTGCTGCATAGGTCTGAGAAGAGTGATGGGGTTATTCAGAAAGGAGTTAGGCTCCGTTTCAATGTAGTTCAAGTGCCTCTTTTTGGCGCGTTTCTGATGAATTTCAAAAAACATCTGTGGTATGTTATTTTTCAGTAGGCGCACGTCAACTTCTGTTTGGAAGAACTAAAGTTTAAACAAGTCATCTTATATTCTGTTGAAACAGCGGGGTGGCTTCGACGACTTAGGATGAATCAATAGTTATAGAAGCATTGTGACTCACGGCTACCAGACCCGGTTAGAGCTTGCGAAATCCACGGTACCGGATAGCTACATTCATAGTTACAGAATGGTCTGTGAAGCCGAGAAAACCGAAATCACGGTGTAATGACAGTCATCAGGTGAGATTAAGAGGCCTCAATTTTCACTTCAGACTGTTAACCCGATTAAACCGTAGAGGCTTTCGTATGAGCGAAATCACTTATTTTGTGTTAACCGTTGAGGACCAAGTAGAGGTTGATATTTCACAAAGAAACTGCACCCTTTCTGCAACTGTCCCACTAGTTTATTCGTGATAAACTGACTGGTTTGTTCTGCTAAGGCCCTGAAAAATATGACTACTTAGGAATGTGTGTGAAGGGACGGCGGTAGTATACTTGAAGGTAAAGGAATTTTCGGGCGATACCAATCTTACCAGTGAGAGGCTGGTGCTTATTGGAGTACCGCAATGCTCAGTCCGGAGAATTGGAATGTACCGCCTGCTTAAATTCTTTGGGTTTTCATCTAATTCATAGCATTCGCGCCGGGTTTGTGCATGCTCTCTGTGTTCAGTAGCTCAGGCCAACTACTCATCCAGTCAGCTCTGTGTGAATAACCAAGATTTTATAATAAACGTAGGCAAATTCCTATGAGATGACAGTTCTTTGTGAACATGCTATGCATAACTGTGGGTCTACCCCTTACTTTTCAAAATTAAATCGATATGTCATCGTACCAATTGTAGAGATTACAGCACAAGTGTTCTCGAATACTCAACCTGTCCACATCGTTATAGAGAAATGGTTGATTAAGAACCAGCTCAGCATATTCGGTAGTGAGAAGTCCAGACACTCACGCCATTTTTACTTTAAGATCAATAAGCACTATGATGAGGAAACTATAAAATCAACAGATAGGTTGATTGCTCACACTTTCCACTTGGGAAGTTGGTTCTTTTCTAGAAAAGCTGTATCTTAAGACACTTTCAAAACCCCCAACTGTTCATTTTTTTAGCTTGGAAAGATTCTCACAGCGCAGTGTGACCAACAACCGATTTCAGCTATGAATGGACTTCAGTAGAACAGTTTAAATTTTGTTAGCCAGCAACGAACCAAGTACTGTCCTCCAAACATCATTTATTCATCCATTAAAAGAACAGTTTTTTTAGCGGCGAACAATCCAGTTTTTCTTTGTAGATCACCGAGAAATAATGCTGCTCGCATGAGCAACTTGAGCGGATAGAAGTTTGCATTCGTATGCTACACAGCATAAAGGTATTTGACACAAAGTTTGAAAAAAAACATTTTCAAGTTGGTGTCAGTCCAGAAGCACACTTGGAAATCAATGTTGGATGGCTTGTTATCCAGATTTATGTTACGCTTGCTACGAACTAAGGGCAACAGTATGGGTGACATTTCGTTCAAGGTCCATTGTTCAGCGTCGGTCAACTGTGCCATGGAGTTAGCGGCCAATTAGCATATCGAAATCTAAAGGTTTGAGTTGAGTTTGAAGTTTTATGGTTATTAACCTGGACTTAACGGAGTACGCTCGATAGCTTTTCACGGGACAGTGCTCTCAAAGGGCATTCATGAATGTTCTAACTGCTCACTAAATGCGGGTAGGCTAACACGACTGTCAACCTTGAAACCTTGTTCAAACAATTGATTTCACAAAAGGCTATTCACTAAACAACGGGCTGTCTAAAGGTAACCAATACTGACTTGTCTATGTCTATAGTGGGGGCGGGAAACCGTGTCAAAACCGGAAGCAGTGTAGCCATGTATCGATCCTCCCTTCTGTTTTTATACATCCAAGATAGACTTACCACCTGATGTTTGTCGGAGAACACGAGTTGTATAAGACAAACAAATGTGGTAAGAATGCTTTGTTTTTCAGCATCAGTGAAAGGTACACACCATTCGACATGTCGCTGCATGTGAACTGCAATGAGACTGAGCAGACATACAGACAGAAATCGATGTAGACCTGTTAGCACATAGATGTTTGCAGTAATATTGGTTTTAAACTTACAAGTGATTTATTCATGTAACTGACTGCACGCCTAATAAGTAGGCATGGCCACATGTGCCCCCATTTCATCACAGACGATTTAGATATAACCGGTTCGTAATTGACCGCACTCTGTTTCCTCATGATTAATATAAGCAAAGGTAGCATCAGTAAACCCCAACATGATCATATGCGTGCGTACTGTATTGGTTTTGACTACGCCAGCCTAGTTGTGTGGGTAAGGAATCCGTTAGTTTAGTGGGACAATATAGCTACCATTGTGCAACAATAAACATGTAGAAGCAGTGGAGATCGATAGGAATGGGCATAGTACTTCGGGTATTTGTGGGTACATCGAGAAAAACAGCACAAGTGGTCTGGGCAGATGGGTGATTCACTGTGTTGATAGACAACGTCAGCCGCATATGAAACCGTCCACAAGTAACAAGCAGTTTGCTGTGGAAAATCTGCCGATTGTCGTGCATACATGTCTACAGATGCAGCTGTGATTCACAGCAACACATCTATGGGTATTATTGGGATGTTTTGGAGACTTTGTTTTACCGGAGACAAGAATACTACTTGGTCAGCTGAACTGAATTAAATGAATTGCCTCATTGGTGGGTTTATTCGACCAGGGCCTCCGAGACTGCAAACCGAATTTCGTGGAAAATAATAACGTCCGCTGTTGATTCGAGAACGGACAGTGTGACCCGGCGGATGAGATCGATGAGTGGGAGTTAAAGCCATTTATCCAGCCCGCACAATGTAAGCACCAAACCCATCCGGATAAATATATATCACACTGAATAATGGAACGAATTTGCATTGCATAACCGGCTGGATCAACGAAAAATAATCCTATCATGTGAGTCACGACTGGGACATCTAATTCTCATCAAACTAGCTCGCATATTATGAATATTTCTAACTCCCATAAGCGATGTTGACCAAAAATAATTGCAGACTGCTCAAATACTGAGCCCCCAAAAACGATAGACTTTGAGTAGCAGATCAGAAAATGGATCACTCTTCAAGTACTGCCTAAAAAGAACTTGGGAAGTAAGTGCACTCATTTGGAAATCTTTTTGGTTTTCACGGGAGACTTAAGTGAATCTCTCGTTTATGAAAATATGCTGCAATATCTCGAATATCGTATTAACTGAAACATAAGTTGGCCTTTGTACAGCACATTCAGTTGAAAAACGTCATAAACGAGAGATTTATTTGAGTCTCCTGTGAAAACTGAATTGATCTGGAAATGAGTATGTTTGTCGAAACCAGTCCTTTTCGGGTTCAAGTAGACCACAAGTTTGACGAAAACTCGGGGACTGCGCCTACTTGATGAACCTCAAAAAGAACGAAACCGGTCATGGGCTGTCGAGGAGTTTTTGGCAACTTTGTGAGTAGTTTCTTTATGAAAACGTGGGAGGTAGATTGTATTTTGTGTTTCAAGACAACGAATCATCACGGAATTTTAATATTTATTCTGTAGATTTCTGATGTCCAGCTAAATGTATGGCGCATAATATAAGTGTGGGAAGGTATGACTGTGCAGCTCTTCAGATGAGCTTACCAAGTTTCAGAAATCCCCATGCTCGTGCAGAAACTCAGTTGGCATTATATTCTTGGAAGTTCCCATAAGGCTACCTTATCTCCTGGTTCACTGAAGATTTATTGTCTTATCGGTCTACCACTAGGGCAATACCCTTATCCAAAAATATGATAAATAAACCTACCAGGTAAAATAATACTTCATTTGATGACATATTTCGGGGAATATATTTAAATCCGTAAATTTGATTTAGCTTATTGCCTTGTCATCTAACTGCAAATGTCTTTTTACAGAATTCATTTTATAGATTCCATAGGTATTTTGACTTCACTTAATGGCATCTTTACGTGGATAATGTTCTGATGCTATAAAATCAATCAGATTTTACATAAGCTTCCATGAGTCATTTCGTAACTAAAATGTTTCCGGCGTTTTGTTTACTTTTTGGAATAGAAACATGTCCAAACGAAAAACACGGTTGGTACAGAGTTTCTAATTAGTGATTTGGGAAGAGATCAGCATGAGGGAAATGTCGTTGTTTTATGCGTTCATATGAAAATAGAGACCAGTTAGACCCCTAACGTGGTACGATGGTTTCAGTGTTTGCGAAATTTCTCTGACTGCAATTAAGAGTAAGAGCTTTTTTGGTTCACTACTGTTGCTTCAGCCAATACATGTGCTGTGAAAATTGAACGACATCACAACTGAGTTAGGTCGCAGAGTACACTCAAATTTGGTAGTCACGTCCACCCTGGGTCTTGGTAACCTATGATCGTTTGAGTGGTTTTGGTTGCCGAAGTAAGCTCTAGGCAAAAATTGATTTAAGCAAGTTGAGCCTTACCTTTCAGCTCTGTAGTGGCCACATGAAATCTCACACTGTTCACACTACTCACAAAAGATAAGTAAACATTCTATGCGGTCTGGTGGTCTTTCAGATGAGCAGCCGTGCACGTGCTGCACAATGTCCAAAATGAGGACGGAGAATATGTTTAATCCTGACGTTCATAGCCATCGTTTGGCGACTGGTCATCTATCAGGGACATCTTATCTGTATATGACATCTAAATATATAAACCCTTCTACTCCACTTGTTGTAGCAGAGATAAGCGCTAATGTCAGTCAAGGATGATATGCAGATGATGGGTGAATGGGAATAGACTACCTGGTTGCACGGAAGAATAGTTAATATCGAGCCGAATTAAAGGGTGAGGAGTGGAAGTTGGCGTAAAAGTTATGAGGTGGTATGCACATAATATTCTGATGGAACGTCGTTAGGTATGTTTTTTGCTGAGGCTTACCTTAGTATGTTTTGTTGACCCTAAATGTTAGAGTTTATGATTTTGGTGTGGCTAGCTCAGGTTTAGTTTTTCTAATTTTGGGTGAACGGTGTATCGTCTACTTCATAAATGTGCATATTGCTCATTTAAACAGAAATCAGGCTTTAGATGGCTTTTTAGAGAATAACGACAACCTAGTTTGTTGCCAAGTACCTTAAGAATGGCTTTACGAATGGGCAGAAATTATCGATATCTTGTCCCGAATGACACTCTACAGCCAAGAAATAGCCCCTTAAGTTTTGGTGATTTCGGCAGTGTCACAGTTTAGTCGATAGTGGGGTCTGTATTCGAAGATAGGTTACGGCCACTTTGTTGGCCTGACAGAAAAAGTGGCCTATTGGAGCAGGTGAGCCTACAAAAAACACGTGACGGTGGAGACATCATCCACTGGGAAAGAAATCTTTTGTACTTTATCTATCCTTTGATGAATAAAACAACATTTGAATGCGGTTGTGGAACAAAAACAGGAGCTGAAATAAAGTGACTGAATGGCTCTAGGCTACAGAAAATCACTAAACAGAAAGTGTACACTAGCGGGCAAGATGTTCCGTTACGGTCTAGACAGATATGAAGCCGGCAACACACCGATAGGCGTAGCACCTGGTAGGGAGTGATTTCAGGCGGTGACAAAAAACCAAGAGGCAAACACTGAGGGGAAGAGAAACATGTTGTGCCTGGAACGCAAGCAGTTTCTTATACAAAACTGCCAGACAATTCTAGCACATGATGACAGTCAACAACCGAATCAAGTTTTCAAAACGGTGATTCTATAGGGAAGACCCTTTCAAAACGATGTTTTTCAGTTGGCCAGGCCACAGTGTGGTTATCCACTAGCTATTGTTTGGAGTGAATTTTCCTTATGACCGGTCGGAGAACCTTTTTTCTCCTTGGACGGGGATAGTTTATATTACTCTAATAGGCTATCTGTAGACGCTGTCAACTAGACTGTTTTGTCAGGACACTGGGGTGAAAAGAAGATGGATTAAACGAGTACGAACAGCTGATTGAGCTGCAGAAAGGTCAAACATTATAGAGGTGTATTTCTCCTGGAAAGCAATTCAATGGTTTGCGCACGTTCCCCATATAACTCGCGTAACAACCTGCAGCAAGCGCTGAAACCCAAGTGCGGTTGTCTCATAGAGGTACATGAGTTTGTGGTTAATATGCCAAGGAAATGAAATTAATACCGTTGGGTAAGTATTCATTCCGACTTGTAATACTGACAAATAACTCCAGTACATGTTGACCGGATGGTTGTTCTACGAATGCCCCCACATTCATCTGTAAATTATAGTCTTCATTACGTGTATACACATCTGAATGCTTTAACCCATTCCTTAGAGACGACTGTTATCAGATACTCCCTTTTTAAATGACTCTTAGCCACGTCTTATAGTCAGCGTTGGTTCGTTAGGTAGATTATATTACAAAGCATTTATATTACTTGTAGGCATTAATAAGTCCTGTAGGTTTGGGGAAAGAAATTGATGCAGATACGAAGTACAAGACCGTGAAGTCACGACGCTGGCACCTCTGCTTGACTCAGAAGAAGGCCTTCGGTTAAGGCTTTGCACAATTACATTTGAATCATCCGTCTATGAGTCAGTAGATCAGCTCTTTAGAGGAATTCAGTGAGTTGAAGCTACAGGAAAGTGGTGACGAGAGACAAAAATGGGTATTGGCTCAGTAAACAACGACTGATTCATTGCTCAAATGTGCTAGTTCTGCTACACTGCAATGCAGTAAAACTATATCTAACTCTATTTACTTATTTCATCAGTTCATAAGGTCACTAAAATGTTCAGGGTTTATTCATGCGCTTCACCTAAACTGGTACTTGTCATGATTCACATTGTTGCCACGTTCACAGTATATCGATCTGAGAATCTTCCCCATAACCGTGTTTACTCATTCGAACTAGCTATGTGACCAAGCCGACTGAGTGAGCATAACACATATAGAAAAGAGAAATTGCTGACAATAAACCCTTACCTCGACTGAGGCCAACAAACTGCGAACTGCACTCCTCATTTTCAATGCAGACAACTGAACACTGGTTTGAGCATAACCGAATGAACCGAATATCTTTCGTCTGAGAATCCACAAGATTAGCAGCAACCAAACTAGGAGAATATCCTGATGAAAGTAATTCAATAGTAATGCAATTTTCATAGGGGATCAGCGTCATCAGAAAGTGGGCAAATGAGAAAAGAAATCCGGCACAGTGCACTCCAATTTCGGTAACTTTCCATGTGATGACCAGTGATCCAATTCAACTGGGCATTCTGTTCTCGAATCCCTTCCCCATGCATGTGACTAAATTTACGTAAAATATTTGGTACTGTTCTGGTCCAACAGGTGAGTTTCATCTTTCCGGCTGAAGCGATATTCATTGTCTCAACAATACTTTTGAAAGGATGCCCACAGTCCGGTCCCGAAGAATTGTTTCTCGATATTTAGCTGACCAGCTGTAAGCTTACACAAAGTTCAAAGTAGTGCTCTGTATGCTCTACTGAACTGGCAACGTCACTACCTTAATAGAAATCTTCAAATAAGTAGCCATATATGGTTGTTTTGGAACATGTGCAGGAACATGTCAACAGAACTTGAAAAAAGCACTGATTTCATTGTCAGGTTGAGTTTTTCTTTTGAAGGTTCAGAGGCACAACAGACTAGATCAGAGCTAGCTATCACCCTTGTTTTTTGTTGACGTAAAAATGGTAACAAGTAGATAAAAAACTGGGTTTATGTTGGTATCTCATTAGTTAAGTTGGAAAAACCTTAGCTGGAGTTTTGTATTTGCAGACAAAGCATTACCACAGGAGAAAAATGGAAAAAGTGGTTAGTGGGCATCATTCTTGACCATTTTTCTTGACTCCCACCATTCGACCACATCTCTCAATCTATTAGAGACATCACTGTGAAATTCGATAGCCAAGATCACTATATGGTGACCAGGTTATGTGGATTCTCTTCCCAGCCGCAGCCCTGCTTTCTCTGTGTTACTGGATGATCTACATTTGATTTAGCTTATTGCCTTGTCATCTAACTGCAAATGTCTTTTTACAGAATTCATTTTATAGATTCCATAGGTATTTTGACTTCACTTAATGGCATCTTTACGTGGATAATGTTCTGATGCTATAAAATCAATCAGATTTTACATAAGCTTCCATGAGTCATTTCGTAACTAAAATGTTTCCGGCGTTTTGTTTACTTTTTGGAATAGAAACATGTCCAAACGAAAAACACGGTTGGTACAGAGTTTCTAATTAGTGATTTGGGAAGAGATCAGCATGAGGGAAATGTCGTTGTTTTATGCGTTCATATGAAAATAGAGACCAGTTAGACCCCTAACGTGGTACGATGGTTTCAGTGTTTGCGAAATTTCTCTGACTGCAATTAAGAGTAAGAGCTTTTTTGGTTCACTACTGTTGCTTCAGCCAATACATGTGCTGTGAAAATTGAACGACATCACAACTGAGTTAGGTCGCAGAGTACACTCAAATTTGGTAGTCACGTCCACCCTGGGTCTTGGTAACCTATGATCGTTTGAGTGGTTTTGGTTGCCGAAGTAAGCTGTAGGCAAAAATTGATTTAAGCAAGTTGAGCCTTACCTTTCAGCTCTGTAGTGGCCACATGAAATCTCACACTGTTCACACTACTCACAAAAGATAAGTAAACATTCTATGCGGTCTGGTGGTCTTTCAGATGAGCAGCCGTGCACGTGCTGCACAATGTCCAAAATGAGGACGGAGAATATGTTTAATCCTGACGTTCATAGCCATCGTTTGGCGACTGGTCATCTATCAGGGACATCTTATCTGTATATGACATCTAAATATATAAACCCTTCTACTCCACTTGTTGTAGCAGAGATAAGCGCTAATGTCAGTCAAGGATGATATGCAGATGATGGGTGAATGGGAATAGACTACCTGGTTGCACGGAAGAATAGTTAATATCGAGCCGAATTAAAGGGTGAGGAGTGGAAGTTGGCGTAAAAGTTATGAGGTGGTATGCACATAATATTCTGATGGAACGTCGTTAGGTATGTTTTTTGCTGAGGCTTACCTTAGTATGTTTTGTTGACCCTAAATGTTAGAGTTTATGATTTTGGTGTGGCTAGCTCAGGTTTAGTTTTTCTAATTTTGGGTGAACGGTGTATCGTCTACTTCATAAATGTGCATATTGCTCATTTAAACAGAAATCAGGCTTTAGATGGCTTTTTGGAGAATAACGACAACCTAGTTTGTTGCCAAGTACCTTAAGAATGGCTTTACGAATGGGCAGAAATTATCGATATCTTGTCCCGAATGACACTCTACAGCCAAGAAATAGCCCCTTAAGTTTTGGTGATTTCGGCAGTGTCACAGTTTAGTCGATAGTGGGGTCTGTATTCGAAGATAGGTTACGGCCACTTTGTTGGCCTGACAGAAAAAGTGGCCTATTGGAGCAGGTGAGCCTACAAAAAACACGTGACGGTGGAGACATCATCCACTGGGAAAGAAATCTTTTGTACTTTATCTATCCTTTGATGAATAAAACAACATTTGAATGCGGTTGTGGAACAAAAACAGGAGCTGAAATAAAGTGACTGAATGGCTCTAGGCTACAGAAAATCACTAAACAGAAAGTGTACACTAGCGGGCAAGATGTTCCGTTACGGTCTAGACAGATATGAAGCCGGCAACACACCGATAGGCGTAGCACCTGGTAGGGAGTGATTTCAGGCGGTGACAAAAAACCAAGAGGCAAACACTGAGGGGAAGAGAAACATGTTGTGCCTGGAACGCAAGCAGTTTCTTATACAAAACTGCCAGACAATTCTAGCACATGATGACAGTCAACAACCGAATCAAGTTTTCAAAACGGTGATTCTATAGGGAAGACCCTTTCAAAACGATGTTTTTCAGTTGGCCAGGCCACAGTGTGGTTATCCACTAGCTATTGTTTGGAGTGAATTTTCCTTATGACCGGTCGGAGAACCTTTTTTCTCCTTGGACGGGGATAGTTTATATTACTCTAATAGGCTATCTGTAGACGCTGTCAACTAGACTGTTTTGTCAGGACACTGGGGTGAAAAGAAGATGGATTAAACGAGTACGAACAGCTGATTGAGCTGCAGAAAGGTCAAACATTATAGAGGTGTATTTCTCCTGGAAAGCAATTCCGAAGCAGATTCTTTGGTTTGCGCCCGTTCCCCATATAACTCACGTAACAACCTGCAGCAAGCGCTGAAACCCAAATGTGGTTGTCTCATAGAGTTACATGAGTTTGTGGTTAATATGCCAAGGAAATGAAATTAATACCGTTGGGTAAGTATTCATTCCGACTTGTAATACTGACAAATAACTCCAGTACATGTTGACCGGATGGTTGTTCTACGAATGCCCCCACATTCATCTGTAAATTATAGTCTTCATTACGTGTATACACATCTGAATGCTTTAACCCATTCCTTAGAGACGACTGTTATCAGATACTCCCTTTTTAAATGACTCTTAGCCACGTCTTATAGTCAGCGTTGGTTCGTTAGGTAGATTATATTACAAAGCATTTATATTACTTGTAGGCATTAATAAGTCCTGTAGGTTTGGGGAAAGAAATTGATGCAGATACGAAGTACAAGACCGTGAAGTCACGACGCTGGCACCTCTGTTTGACTCAGAAGAAGGCCTTCGGTTAAGGCTTTGCACAATTACATTTGAATCATCCGTCTATGAGTCAGTAGATCAGCTCTTTAGAGGAATTCGGTGGGTTGAAGCTAAAGGAAAGTGATGATGGGAGACAAAAATGGGTGCTGGCTCAGTCAACAACGGCTGACTCATTGCTCAAATGTGCTAGTTCTGCTACACTGCAATGCAGTAAAACTATATCTAACTCTATTTACTTATTTCATCAGTTCATAAGGTCACTAAAATGTTCAGGGTTTATTCATGCGCTTCACCTAAACTGGTACTTGTCATGATTCACATTGTTGCCACGTTCACAGTATATCGATCTGAGAATCTTCCCCATAACCGTGTTTACTCATTCGAACTAGCTATGTGACCAAGCCGACTGAGTGAGCATAACACATATAGAAAAGAGAAATTGCTGACAATAAACCCTTATCTCGACTGAGGCCAACAAACTGCGAACTGCACTCCTCATTTTCAATGCAGACAACTGAACACTGGTTTGAGCATAACCGAATGAACCGAATATCTTTCGTCTGAGAATCCACAAGATTAGCAGCAACCAAACTAGGAGAATATCCTGATGAAAGTAATTCAATAGTAATGCAATTTTCATAGGGGATCAGCGTCATCAGAAAGTGGGCAAATGAGAAAAGAAATCCGGCACAGTGCACTCCAATTTCGGTAACTTTCCATGTGATGACCAGTGATCCAATTCAACTGGGCATTCTGTTCTCGAATCCCTTCCCCATGCATGTGACTAAATTTACGTAAAATATTTGGTACTGTTCTGGTCCAACAGGTGAGTTTCATCTTTCCGGCTGAAGCGATATTCATTGTCTCAACAATACTTTTGAAAGGATGCCCACAGTCCGGTCCCGAAGAATTGTTTCTCGATATTTAGCTGACCAGCTGTAAGCTTACACAAAGTTCAAAGTAGTGCTCTGTATGCTCTACTGAACTGGCAACGTCACTACCTTAATAGAAATCTTCAAATAAGTAGCCATATATGGTTGTTTTGGAACATGTGCAGGAACATGTCAACAGAACTTGAAAAAAGCACTGATTTCATTGTCAGGTTGAGTTTTTCTTTTGAAGGTTCAGAGGCACAACAGACTAGATCAGAGCTAGCTATCACCCTTGTTTTTTGTTGACGTAAAAATGGTAACAAGTAGATAAAAAACTGGGTTTATGTTGGTATCTCATTAGTTAAGTTGGAAAAACCTTAGCTGGAGTTTTGTATTTGCAGACAAAGCATTACCACAGGAGAAAAATGGAAAAAGTGGTTAGTGGGCATCATTCTTGACCATTTTTCTTGACTCCCACCATTCGACCACATCTCTCAATCTATTAGAGACATCACTGTGAAATTCGATAGCCAAGATCACTATATGGTGACCAGGTTATGTGGATTCTCTTCCCAGCCGCAGCCCTGCTTTCTCTGTGTTACTGGAT